ATATATATTTAAATCTAGAACAATAAGTCTCAATTAAGGTCAATTTTGCCCGGTTAAGGATACTATGGTAGTGTCTAGAGATTTGTTTTCTTATAACTAGAAAAGGGATGGTAAGGATTTCTAGCTTGAGGGGCTCAAAAATACCACTCACATCCAACAAGGCAGCTAATGCAATAGAGGCTTTTCTCACACTTCACTCTGAAGTTGAGAAACTTTGATATTTAGGTTTATTGTTTCTGTCTTTTTAGTAACAATTTACTTGTTCTTATAGTGTTATTTTCCCTCTAGATTTCTCACCGTCTGCTTTTGCTAGAAAAACATCATGGTGTCAGTTTATTGTATTTTTGTCCCACATATTAAGTAGCAATTAGATTTTGAAACATCATCAGATTCACATTCAATTTTTGTAGTTTTGATCAAGCTTCATATGTTCTTTTTCTGAGACACCGTTGAGTGTGTCCTATCAGGAGGTATATAATGTATTATTCTCTCTCTCATCAATACAGAAAACTATTGATGGTCAGTATGTATATCTATTATTTCATTAGGGCTTGAAAAATGGTTATATTGCATTTTAGTTATGTCTTTACATCAAATATTACTGCTTCTTGGCAATGTTCCTTACAATGTTTGGTGTGGAAATCACACTGTGTGTGCAGCATTTACACGTTCCATGTTTCCTTGCAGAAATATCCTGTACCACATGGATGAGAAGACAAGCCAGTTTTCAGTACTCATGGAGGCTTGGGAGCACTGCAACTCACATGCATCAAATGAGACCCTTCAAGGAGTCCTGTCAGAGGTTTTGAACAGCATTAATTCAGCTCAGGTTTACTTCAAAGCAGGACTTGAAGTGTTCGAGAATGCCTTGGTAGCAAAGAACTGAGAATGCTCTCAGCATTTTTAAAAAGTTTGTTTACAATTCTATAAGCAAAATTCTAATCTGACCAGATTTTTTTGACATTGAGGACCCCCCACACACGGCTTTTCAACTCTAAGGCTATTATTACATGGTTTTTTTTAATGTACATAGAAAGAACTTTTTGCACATCAAATATTGTTCTTATATCTACATTTCTGAATACGTAAAACAACTTATTGAAATAGTACTGAAGATTTATCTATTAAAAGAAATCTAATGTATTTTTTATATATAAAGTATTTTGGGAGGAAATTTCCACGAAGTTCTGGACATCTTCTCTCCTATGGACAGAACACACAGTTATTCTTTTTAATAGTTCTATTAATGACCAAGTTTCTATAGTAGAAATGGAAAGTTGATAGTTTCAGATTAATTTCACTATTAAGTGTTCAATATGAAGAATTGAAGTATTCTGACTGCAATGACCGGTTACCCAAAGTCACTTTGAATGTTTCTGTCTTATGAAATGAAGTTCCTCTTCTTAACACAACTAGATATAGTAATACACTGGTTACAAAATTGTATTTTTAAGTATTAATGAAAAAAAGAGCCATAAACATTCCAGGGAAAATTCTCAAGGTAGCTGCATAAAGCAATTTAAATGCAAATTTTTTTCCTAACAATTTATAAGGTTACCAGCTTTCAAACCCCTAATTTGCTTCAGTTGATTTTATAAGAATTTCAAAAGTGATATATGTCTTATGAGAGAGAAAACATTTATTTCTTTTTTCTGTGGCTTCTGTTAAAGCCACTGAAACAGAGGCTACTCTAAAAAGAAAGCATCTCACATGACTTTTCCTTCCCATGTCTTTTCTGAAACTGCTGTAAGGCAGTTTTCACAGAACGCTATATAATTTTCACAAGAAAATAGCCAAGTTTCTCTTTGAAAACCCAAAATATCATAAAAAGCACTTTAATGCTTTTTATGTTACTGGCAGAAAGACCTTGCTCCAAAAGAAATATTTTTTGTCAACAACAAACTGTAAATCTTTGAAGTATATTTGATATTTTTTCCTTCTTTATCCTTAATTGCAACTAAGGTGAAAGCACAGAAAATATTCATGCTTCTAATTCTATGCAGACAGTATAGAGTTTTTCAATAAAGAATGCATTTCTTCCAAACTTTACTTTTTCTTTCATGTAGAAAATTCAGCTTTTTCATATCAGCAATGCCACTGAATATCTCCAGCATTCACTATTACCCAAACTCTAAAATTCTGCCTAATGACGGGCATGTTAAACTTTTAGTTTATCATTATTAATATTTACAAAATGTGCTCCTGACATTGGATCGCACAGTTCCCCTAAGGAAGAATAACTCTCACAATATTTTTTATTCATTTTCTTTATTAAACTCAAACAGATGCCCCTTACACATTGCCAGAATAGTATTGCAAGCAATACCTGGATGTCTGTCTTCACTTGGGCATGAATGTAAGCCTAGTCTTAGTTGAAAGAAATCTAACGTTGAAAAGAAATAACTACTTAGTGTTGACTAATGAATTTATTATAGTCAGCTTCTCCTACTGTAAGTAATGTTTGTATGCCCAAAGCAGAGAATTGAGGCAATTAGCTGCGTAATTCAAACAAACCCATTCTCATCAGAATAGCCCTTGCATCCATGTTTTCATAGGAAAATTGAAGCTACCTTCCAATTTTATAATCCACTTACTTATTTGAAAATATGTGCCATGTTGAAGGGTGTGCATAGAAAGGATTAAAATGACCGGGCTCTTGTGTGCATTGAACTCAGCGCCCTGGCCTGCTTTGGAAAGCTGAGCAGCAAGAAAGAATTTAGAATACCCTCACAGACTTGTAGGCTCGCATAGTGGGATGCCTTGCATCAAAGGACCTTAAATAATTAATCAGAAGTTAATGTGTTCTTTTTTTTAATGTGGAGTTAAATTTAAAACAAAGAATGAAAAAAAAACTGTTATCGGTTTTGTAAGTTTCTTTAACAAATAAAGTTCTAAATAAATTTCCTCCCATGATTCACAATAGTATTGAGAGCAAAGAACATTTTTATTCTTCCTTTTATTTAAAGACTGACTGGATGTAGGTAAGTCATACTGCATTGACCGTAAAGTATCATTATGTTTTACCCATCACTTCTAAAATTATATGACTTTTGGCTCTTCAGTTCAGTTAACTCTGAACCTACTTGCATTTGTTAGACTGCTTAGGATTAGGTATAGAAGCTAAATTATAATTAAAACAGATGTCCAACAATTCTACAGATGCTATTTTACATCTTTAACTGAAGCAAATTTAACTAGTAGCATTATAACTATAGTATGATTATCTCAATTTTACTCCAGATTGACATTACGTTAATTTTGCCCTGGTAGATTCAAGGAAAATATCCTGCACAAGTTAATATCAAATGTTCATGTGAATTTGTAGTATGGATAAATTGCTACTGAGACATCTGGGTACCGGCTAGTTCTCAAAATTCTTCAATCTTAGACTGGTACCAAAAGATAATGAATTCTAAGTAACTAGTCTCTCATGACAGTGTGACAAGTGTGTATCCGTGAAATTTGTATTTGGGAAGATGACTATACAATACTAACCTTCATAGAAATGCATAAGTCCTAGAGATAAAAGGTAGGCTAACAAAAGTTCCAGTCTAAGCTGTAGGGTCTTGTCTTTAAACAGAGAAAGCATTCTAGTGCCCATCAGATAAAGTAAATGAAGGAAAAGTGACTGTGACATTTGCAAGTAGTCATAGATTCAGTTGCAGAAACATTTTTAGCAGTTGTTTCTCTGTTTTCTTATGTAGCATATTCCTGTTTCTCTCGCTCTCTCTTTCTCTTTCTCCCTCTCTCTCTCCCTCCCTCCCTCCCACCCTCTCCCTCTGTCTCTCTCTCTCATTATGTAGCATTCCTGTTTCTCTCGCTCTCTCTCTCTCTTTCTCCCTCTCTCTCTCCCTCCCTCCCTCCCCCCCTCTCCCTCTGTCTCTCTCTCTCCCTTTCCACCCCCTCTCTGTTTGAAGAGACAGAATATAACCTTTTCCAGTCCCTTGTAAGTAACCAGCTATTTCATAAAATGTTCTAAAAACTGGACACACTGCTTTAAATTCCAGGCTAGCTCACTCTCTGATAATGTCGACAAAACTTTCTCAAGTTTGTCAAGTTTCTCTGTCAAGGATGCAGGGCAGAGGAAACAAAGACTGGTCACTTAGAGGAAATGGGGAACATCTCCACTTGACACCAGAAGTCAGGAAGTAGAACACAGAACAAAATGTATTTATAAAAGGATATGTTAGCTTGGTATAAAATTGGCAATCTGAATCAGCACTTCTCAAAATGAGAAATTTGGTGAGAGAGGCCTTGGAATCTCTATCTTCAGATTGCCAGATGATCCTTATGAACACTGAAGTTTAAGAATGTCTTAATATATATAATCCTGGGTCCTCAGAAAATATTAATCGACACTAAGTAAGTCAAAGAATCACAAAGCTTTTTTAAATGGAACTATTACCAAAAATGGGCCTATTTTATACCTAAGGAAAGTATTCCACGTAGCTAAAATGTACCTGGTGCATGTGAATCACTCCTTTAGATAGTTTCCACAAGTTTTCCTAATTCAGTCCCTTCAAAACATCATGTTAAAAATGAGAGAACTATGTGTAATGGCATCCACATATCCAAAGTCAATAAAACATACTGAGATATGCATCCCTCTAGTGTCTATTTCTATGTTCTTCAAATTGAGTGCTACATAAAAACATCAGAAATTACTTGATTTAAGAAAGTAATATAATTGGAAATTTTAATCTACTCTTCCACAATTGTGCAGTACTATACTGTCTGCTACTTCCTTGGTATGATGGAGGAACTTGAAACAAAATACACCATTCCTCAGTAATACGCACATGTATAGGTAAGTTTCAAGGTATCTGTAAGGCATTAAAAATAAGTGCATCAATGTAGAATATGAGGACAGCTAGACTTGCAAACTGCAGAAACAAAACCAGAAGCACAAGTCTCACAATTTTCCCCTCCAAATGCCTGTATAATTTCACTGAAAAGAGATTATGTGCTATGATTTAGAACCATGGTTTTATATCAATCCCAAAAACTAAGAGTAACTAATGAACTGTATAAACTAAATATATGATACATAATAGTTTCTCCATTAGAAAGATAAGTATCACAAAAATAAATGATTTGTTACTTTCTTATAATGAATCAACATCTTTGTCTCAGATAAAAGCTATAGTTATTTTCATAATACAGCTACACTGGTAAGCTTAGTCAAAAATGTGAGACATTCTGTGGCAGGTGTAATTAATTACTTCAAAAATTAAGCTTCTTCTTTGGATAACACATTGTTATCTCTTTTGGTCAGTTTAAGAGTGTCTTAGCTACATATTTACTTAGTGGGAAGGAATTATATTAACCTTTCATTCCATGTGCTACATGGAAGGGAAATTAGCCCATATATCCATATATTCTAATTAATTTGTCAGCAATGCAACAGTCTCTTCACAGGATCTTGAATGCAGCTTAGAGTAAAAAACAAGCAATGTGATATTTGAGAAAAATATCCAGCCCAGAACTTGTAGTTCTTTCATGAGTTTGAATGGTTAACCTAAAAAAACCTGGTTACAATTTGCTATTCAGGAAGATTTTCAAAAGCTTCACAGGTTTATACACCCCATTAAGTGTGAAGACTTTTCACTTAAGTAGATTTGTTTCATACAGTTTAGGATTTTAAATGATATGAATTTGAAGAAAATGTTTTCTGGTCATCACCATGTCCATGTGATTTTCTGTTTTCTCTTTCTAACTATATTCTGGCAGTGAGATTTTCCCTCTGTCCATCTCTAGATATAGGCATCTGTTAATCATCCAGACTTTTAGTTCTATAATGCCTTTCCATTACCCTTCAAGCATGTATACTACAGTGCCTTTAGTACAGTTGAGATGCCGAGTATGTTGAGATCTGATTTACTGAAAGATGTCTATTTCCTAAAGACATTTATAAGCACATATTCAGATTGGGTCAGAACTAACAACATAAAGGATTAATGTGAAGTAGTTTCACGTAGACTTCAAGAAAAAATGCTGCTTTGAATTTTAATATTTCTACTTAGGTCATTTTTTTTGTTTGAATTATACATTCGTACATTATAGCTTACCAGATTCAAAATGGTAATTTTGACTTTTTTTCCTGCCAAAATACAATCATCAATGCCAAAGAAATGCATGGCTACTCCAATTTTGTATGCAGGAGTCAGTCAAGAATGAACTCTGAAGAGTTGATTCAGTGCCTACATGTAGACAAAGCTTTAATGAGTGTAGACAGAGCCTAACAGTATTCCATTTAATTCTTTTGATGTCTTAAGCCAGTAAGCACTGAGGTAGCTTTTCTCGGAGGGAAACATTTTATTTTCCAGGGGCTAATTAATATGCACCACCTCAGTTCCCAAAGGACCACACAGGTGCCTGTACTATGCCATATGTCATGTGTTATATTCCTGAATGCTCAAGAGATTAATATACAATCATTACTATGAATTATTATGCTGCATTGAAGTTAAGGTTGGTCTTTTGTTCTAATTAAAATATAAACCTGGCATCTGTGTAGAATTTAGCTAGAGATGCAGAGTCTCTATTTTAATGAAATACATATATTTTTCAATCAAACTGTGTATTTATTTAATTAACCTGCTCAGTAATTATAATTTTCCAACTTCCTCAAGAATCTTTATTGAATATATTACCATTCTGGCGGTTAATACTTGATTATGCTTTGTCTTTGGAATTTTCTAGTCATTTCTGAATCATGTTTGCGGTGTCTATGGTAGTGTTTCATTAATAATACTTTTCATTTAGCTTCATTTCAAGCTAGTGTGACTGGATTACCTTACTCCAAAAGAGAATAAAATGCTATTACTCTAGAAACATAATTTTGGCATATGTACTTAATAAGAAAAAACATACAAACAAAATATTTTGCTACACCATTGCAAATTGTCTGCAGGAAACAAATGCCTAGATGATTAAGTGTAGCTCACATAATCATATTCCAAAGATGTTATAGATAATTCTGTTTAGTAGCTGAAATAGGATTCTAGTGTTTACATTGCAAACAAAAAGGATTAGTGGAAAAGACATCCCACATATTCTAACTTCCTACTTGGAGAATCAGAATTATATTCAGAAAGGAAAAAAAAAAACTCTCTAGGAGGCTTCAAAGGGGTAGTTTATTTTTACAGACCTCCAGAAAATCAGCATGACATTTTGATAATGGTTTTGTATATGTGTTTGGAATGTTAATATACACCATGTATTTAATATTTTAATCAGTCTGTAATGTATTAATGTTCAAATATACACATTTTTATATACATTAAAATTCTTAGTGACTTAACATTAAAATATAGCTCTAAAATGAAGCATGAGGATGAACAGGAGATTTATAAACTAACTTGGGTTAAAATTTGAAGGATTAATTTTCCAAACAAATTTCCTTTGATTAAAAACAAATACTTCTCAAGATGTTATTCAATTATGAAATTGCACTGAACTATTTTAGCGTTAAGTTTGTTCAAGGTAATTCGATTATCATCTGTGATTTAGAAATATTTTTATTGTACAGATATTTTCACTGTCATTCTTTGTTTTAATTGATTTTTAATGGCCTCAGTTAGAGACGTGTATGCAATTTTCTAATTACTATATAGAGTTGAATGTCTGATTCCTTAATGTGTGGATACCAATCAGAAATTTAGTTCTATCTATATTTTGCCCAAGCATGATCTCAGTCCATTGTTTAACATTTTTGTGTTCCTTAATGTGATTCAATATACAGCTTTTATTGTGATATAGAGTTACAAAAAATGTACTGCGATACCACATTCCTTAAGGATATAAGTGAATATTTTATATTTCAGTTGCTTAAACATTTGCACATAATTATAAACATAGTACCATGAAATGAAGGCATCTTTTCAAAACATTCTGAATCATAATGCAATGAATATGTACAGAGAAATGGTAATGTTTAAAATACCCATTTAAAATGTATTAAATACAGGTGAAAATCATTTGTATTGTGTGTTTTATGATGAAATATAGCATTTTAAATATGCAAAATGAATTTGTTGTTAGTATGTTTTATTAGGGAATTATATTTACATAATGTGGATCACATCAAAACAGGATGTCCCTTTGTCTAAGGAGCATTCTATATACTATGTTTTATCATCTTTTTTCTTCTTTACTTTCCATTTTTGAGCTTTCAGTGTGTGTCAAGTTCTAAAATCAGGTGATACCATGTATAACAACTCCAATGCTAAAGAGTACTGTTTCAGAAAAATGCTGTCTGTTATTTGTCACACAGAAAAAGGATCTCTACTTGTCTGACATAGTAGGTTTCATCTGTTTATTCATGTAGCAAACATTTCCAGGAGCCTGTTCTAGACCAGGCACTGTCCTGTATTGTGTTCTAAAGATACAAATGGGATCAGCATACTGTCCTTCTAGGATATGACAGCCAAATAGGATATAATACTTCAGTTTATGGGCCAGGGATTTAGCTCAGTGGTTTTCCCCTCCTCCCTTGCAAGCGCAGGGTCCTGAGTTTGATTCCTAGTACCCTCCCCTCCAACAAAAATACAATTCAAGTAGGATATAACACTTCAGTTTATTAACAATACAAGATTTAGTAATATCATGGACAGTAGAGTTTGTTGTAAACATATTGAGAGAGCAGTTATGGCTGAAAGACACCGCATGCTCATGTCACATGTGTGTCCCAGTGGGCCTTCCTTAGCTTTCTAAAAAAGAGTTTCTCCAGTGCATGCTATACA